TAGGAGCATAGTCCGTTTTGATATTCTTTTAATTTTCCTTTGCGAAACTGTTTGTTTCGGGTGTTTTGATGTTTCTTCTGTGAGGAATAAATTTAGAGCTATCCCTTTGTATCTTCCCTGACACAGAACTTTCTCTTAGGTTCGCTGCCACTCTAGGTCGTGGGGACAGTAAATGTGTTTGCTGTGTCGCACATGTCCTTTACTGTTGTTTACCAGTTCATTTTCTGAGCTTAAACTTGATATTTTCAATACTGCATGCAAGGATTGAATAATAAAATATTCAGGGTTTAATTCCACGTTTGCATTTTTTCTGAGAGAGTTCTCCTTAACCCCAGGGCTATGTAACTATTTATTATTTTTCTAAAACTAGGTTGCTTTTTTCTTTTAATGTTCAAATATTTACTTCATATCACATTTACTGTTATAAACTGAATTAAACACCTAATTTAATTTCGGTGGAAAAATTGCTTGTGTCATTTAATAAATGAGCTACTTTTCCTTAGGAGTACAAGCTCCATTATTCACATGCAAACGTATTATAGATAACCCTCAGGGATCATTCTGGTAAAGTAGCTGTTCAAGCTATTCATATTTTTCCCTATATTCTTGTAGCATATTCTGTATCATTTTTGTTACTCTTAGACAATTCTTCCACAATAGCTAGTGTTTATCATTTTATCAGTTTCTGAAATAAGAAGATCCCAGCAAAATAGTATCAAATACATATATATTATAGAACTTGACATACTGATGATTTTATGATTTTCCCATATTTTAACTATCAGAAATGTTTATATTTTCCTCCATCCTATTGGTTAAACTCACTAATTTTATGTTAATTCTTTGAGAATTTGTACAATGTGTTTCGATCATATTTAGCCTTTTCCCCAAATCTCCCCGTACCCCCTTTACCACCCATACAACTTTGTGTTCTTTGTTTAGAAACCTTTCAAGAACATCCACAGGACCCTGGCCTTTTCAGAAGGGGAAAGAGGAGGAATGGATGGGGTGAGGTGGGAGGAGGGACCAATGGGGGAGGAGGGAGGAGAAATTATGGTCTAAATGTAATAATATATATGAGAGAAGAATAAAAAACCGATCGAGATAAATTTGTGCTGCCCAAGGGCTCCTATGTACGGAGCTTTCCACTGGACGGTGGCTGCTTACCAGAGGCTACGCTCCTAGAGAAAATTGAGGCTTCCCCTCTCAGCACTTAACTGCTAATGGCTCCTAGGCTGGGAGGGAGGGTGGCGATTTGGCTCCTCCCACCCCTCTCCATTGATCTGACTTGGGCTTGCATGGGTCCCGTGCATGCCTTTGCAGCTGCATTGAGTTCCCGTGTGCACCTGCCTTCCTGTGACCTGCAGACACTCTTTCCTATACTCATACACTACCTCTGGCTCTTCAGCCTTTCCACTTCCTCTTCTTTAAAGATCTCCGAGCCTTGGGAGGGGGGCTGAGATATATATTTCCATTTAAGGCTGGGCATTTAGCCATGCTGGTTTTGTGCAGTGGCCAGTTGTCGGTCTGTCTGTCCACTCTCATCTACTGCCAATAGATTTCTCCCATATTTGGATCTTATTCCAGATCTTCTGTTTTTAATTTTACCCCATTCATCATCGTTGTATATGTTGTCCCTAATAATTTCCATTTTGAAAGCTCTCTGTATCATATGCTCTGTTTTACATATTGCAGATTTAGAGAAACTCATTCCCTTTTACCCTAGGAACCTCGCATGGGACCTTGTGAGTGGGACAAATACAGGGTCTGGTAGCTTTACCAAGCACAGGACCTTGTGAGCTGGCAGAGACAGATTTGCCTCATTTCCTTCTTAAAATTTAGTTTTGACATGTGTTATTATTCAAGTTTAGGAAGCGCGTGTGCACACTAAGTAGACCCAGCACCCGAGTCCTTTGTGGTTTCTTTTGCAGTGAGGATGCTCAAAACGGGTTGCTCCTTTTCACAGTTATTCTGCAGCTCTGGTGACAGAGATGCGTTGGTTTTTATACCTTGGGAGCACAGCGTCTTCACAGGCATCTCGAAGCCCGTGCTGTTGTTTCCTCACACTGGGGTTCCGGTCAGTTCTCCACAGGCTGCTCATTTCTTAGGAATAGGAATCTCCCCTGCTGTTATGCTTCCTTTGCCTTTGGATTCTCCTTAAATGTCTTTTACTTACATGAGATGTTTGCTCTTTATGAAGAAAGCCGGCATATCTGCTACGGTCTACTTTTCTTCTTGCTAGTCTCTGACAGTCATAAGGGTAGAACATTCTTTGCCTCCGTAAAGATAACTGCATTGTTTTGGCAATTAAATGTGCTACTTTCTTTCCTTTTCTGAAAGTCTGGTTTTTCAGTTTCTTTTCTAAATGACAGCTCTTCGATCAGTGTGTTGCAATCAAAACCCTCCCTTGAGTCTTCCAACTTGGATTCAATGCGACTTAAGGCTTTTTTATTGTTTGGGAATTTCATGCATGTGTATAACGTGTCTTGAAATCCATACCCACTCCCTCCTCTCTGACTCCTCCCACCCCAACCATTTGAATCTCCCAGTTGCATGTATTGTTTTAAACCCACTGCCTGTGTGCAAATCGTTCAACTCAGGATAAGATGGATTTAAAAAAATACATATATAAACTAGGAAGAGATATATGATATTTTAATTTTTCTAGCTCCTAAGGGACATATGCAGTTCCTTTAAATTATGAATATAGGCCAAAAATCAATTTTGCTGGCCTTATTATTATATTATATTTTTGATATGCTGATCACTAATTCACAATCAGTTTAATTGCCTTTCACTATATTCATTGAAGATATTGGGAGAGAAGTGTATGTACATATATTTGCATGTACATGTTGGGGATGTGTTTACATACTTCCGCCCACACAGTGTGCAGCATTCCTTATTCGGAATGGTGTTCTTTCTGCATTAGGCTCCACAAGCAGCCTCAGATTTTGTGAGTTCATGCCACACACATGAAAGAGCTCCGCATTTAGAGCTGTAGGTGGTCAGTTCTCTTTCAGCTGCCTTTCATACCTGTTCCGAGATCAAACGTTCCTCCTATGTCAGATCAAACTGCTGGTGCATTTAAAGTTGTAACCATGCAGACGGCCCAGTCAGCTTTGCTTCAGGGACTGACTGTGGGCATGCAGGTAAATCCTTAACCTTACATTGAAAGCAGAGTCGGGTTGCTGTATGGCAATTGCCCATTGATTACTCTGTTGGAGCAGTAGGTTAGTCCTGAAATGATCTAGTTGAATTTGATTGGATAATATTGTAACCTAAGTGATTCATCTATCCATCTACCCATCCACCCATCCACCCATCCATCCATCCATCCATCCATCCATCCATCCATCCATCCCTTCACTAATTGATTCATTAATGTAAATGCCACTTGTTTTTTGTTTAAGTAGCTCATGTAGAAATATGCCTTGTAAAATTGGGTGTGTGGATGAGTTTTCAAATTCTAAATAACGTCTATTACTTAGATTTTAAAATTAGCTTTAAATTGATTTGGATTAGAAAGTCAAAGAAATCTGCATGTATGGGGGAGAAAAAAGTATATTCTGAGTTTTAAAAAAATATGTTAGTATATATTACTTTGTAAGATTCTACCTGAAAACAAAATGAAATTGCAAAACCCGGGCAGTTTTGATTAAACTATTTAGAAAAAGTGTCTGTTTTATAAAGCTTTCATTATTGTACTGTTTGCTAGAGCATGCAGAAGATTCTTGAGTCATGAAAGCTTCATGTTATGAGACTGACTATTCTACATGAAACGGAGCTAGAAACCTGTTCACCTGTTATTTGCTCAAATAAGAAAAAATCCATATTAGAGTATAGATACTTGCCTGGTGTGGGGGCACATGTCTTTAATCCCAGAGGTGGAGACAGGGTGGATCTCTGTGAGTTCAAGGCCAGGCTGGTTTACATAGTGAGTTTCAGGATAGCCAGAGCTACATAGTGAGATCCTGTCTTAAAAAACAAATAAACAAGCAAAGAATATGGATATTACTTTTTAACATCTATGATACACAAAATAATACTACGTGCACATTTTTTTCTATAAGTATGACGTATTCTAACAAATTCTGCATGTCAAGGGCACAAACTTAGACTGGATAGATGTCACATTTTGATGGACATCACTCTTAAAATTGTCTACTGCATTTTTAGTGTACAAAATGCATATTCTTATGACAGATATTTCTAAATTTGGGTGAAGTATCCCATATAGATTTGCAAAACTCTGTGTGTCTCAAGTTGGAGCCAAGGGGCTTCACCATAAAAACACGAATGACTTCTAGGAACAGCCGTTGTCATCTGGGGGAATGGAGTCTGTGTGCCAGTGACTTCAGGTCTCTGTGATATTAAAACAACTCAGAAACATCTAAGATAAACATTTTCCAGTAAGACTAACGGAAACGCTAAACTCTGCATGAATGTTCACCTGCAGGTTTGTATGTGCACCATGTGTGCTTCATGCTCCCAGGGGCCTGAAAAAAGGCTCTGGATCCCCTGGAACTGGACGTACAGATGGTTGTGAGCCACCATGTGGGTACTGGGAACTGAACCCAGGTCCGCTGAAAGATGAGCTGGTGCATGATTCATCTTCCAGCCTCAGGATCTTGGTTTAAAAACATCTCTATATTTTTTTAAGTTTATTTCTTGATTATCAAGCCAGTGTCTATAGAAAAGATTATTTGTTGAGAAATAAATTAGGAGTGAGAAAGTATAACAGTGTCCATGGCCACTTATTTTAATATTTCAAAGGCGATCTCAATTTATTTTGTAGGGAGAATAGTTTATTATATTAGAGTTAATTTTTTTCTTGAATTTTTTGGTGGTTTTTTTTTTTTTGAAAAAAGTCTGTCCTGCAAGGAAGCATGACAAATGGTTTATGATCCTTGCTCAGCACAGCTGCCCTGCGCTGTTTGAAATTCAGAGGCTTTAAGCAATGAGCACGCACCCACTCCTCTGTTCTGCTCTTTTCCCAGGTGCCTCCCATTCTCCTGGATAAGCAGTTCTCGGAATTCACTCCAGACATCACACCTATCATCTTGGCCGCACATACAAATAATTATGAGATAATCAAACTTTTGGTCCAGAAAGGTGTCTCAGTGCCCAGACCCCACGAGGTCCGCTGTAACTGTGTCGAGTGTGTCTCCAGCTCGGACGTGGACAGCCTCAGACACTCACGGTCCAGGCTCAACATCTACAAGGCGCTGGCCAGTCCCTCGCTCATCGCCCTGTCAAGCGAAGACCCTTTTCTCACCGCCTTCCAGCTAAGCTGGGAGCTGCAGGAACTGAGCAAGGTGGAGAATGAATTCAAGTCGGAATATGAGGAGCTGTCGAGACAATGCAAACAATTTGCTAAGGACCTCCTAGATCAGACACGAAGTTCCAGAGAGCTGGAGATCATTCTTAATTACCGCGATGACAATAGTCTGATCGAAGAACAGAGCGGCAATGATCTTGCGAGGCTAAAATTAGCCATTAAGTACCGTCAAAAAGAGGTGAGTGTTGCCAGACGCGGTCCATCAATGCGATAGAATCTCATCCCCGACAAGCCAGCGCTGCTCCCAAGTAGTGTTACATTTAACAGCATTTTTAATTCTCTTGTAAGCAGGTGGCATTTCGTGTTGGCCAGATTTATAATTATCTCCACACTGGAGAATAGTGGTAAGTGGCTCAATAATTGGAAGTTGCTTCTGGCACCTGTGGGAAGGCACGTGCGCTCACTTGGAATAAGATGGAAAGCTAGCAAATTTTGGATTTTCCCAGACCAGGGGGAGAATTTTGACTCTGCCATTGACAAGTCTTGTTAATCTAGACTCTTGATGGTCGCTTACGGAGCTTGTTGAATTTTCTCATTTACTTAATAAAATTGATTTTTATACTGTTCATGTATGTATATATTTGAAATATTTTTCTTACAGTTTCATGGAAGAATAACATATGTGGGTGACTGTGAGGACTATTAATTAGTTATAAACTATTATACTTGAATGCATTATTAGGAATTAATATAACAAGAGTCTTTTCTTCTTTTGTTTGTTTGTCTTCTTGATCTGTCAGGTATAGGAGATTAAAGACTCAGGGGTGGGAACTAATTTTCCAATGAAATTTTGGCAGATTTTGGTGTTTCCAATGAAGAAATCTAAATCACTCATATCTGTACCAAGGTCACTCAACTGCACCTCAGCCCTCACATCTGTACTTAAACTACAAACATCTGTATTTAGAACACTCACATCTGTACCTACACTAAACATGTACTTGACCACTCAACCTGTACCTGACCACTCAGTCTGTACCCTAGACCAAGCACATCTCTTTCTAGACCGCTCAATATGTACCTAGGCCAACCACATCTGTACTTAGACCACCCACATCTGTACATCTGTACCTAGGCACCTAACATCTATACCTAGACTCTTTATATCTGTACCCAGGCCACTCATATCTGTACATCTGTACCAAACCCCTAACACCTATACTTAGACCCTTCTCATATGTACCTAGACCACTCACATCTTACTTCTGTATTTAGACCCTTAACACCTATACCTAGACCCTTCACATCTGTACATCTGTATGTAGACCACTCACATCTGCACCTAGACCATGCACATCCGCACCTAAAACATTCTATCTCCACCTAGAAAACTAACTTCTGCACCTGCACCACTCACATCTGCACCTAGAACCCTCACATCTGTACCTACACCACTCACATCTGCACCTAGATCACTC